CTGCTTGATTGTTTCACGCATACATAGGACTTTGTTATTCGTTATCAGCTGTCAGGAAACACTTACTTTGCTTTTCTGTCGCATCTAGCACTTCTTCTTCGATGTTGTCATTCAAATTATCCAGTTTTGTGATAGCTTCTTGTTCGTGATTTTCTTTTCTTTGGAAACAATTACGGCAAAGGTTCGGTCGATAGTAATGAGCGTTGAATTCTGAACAAATTGCATTCTTCGAAGGGTCTACAACAAATGCACAAACACATGAAAGATATAACATTGCTCTGCCTGCTGAAACCTCCTGGTGATACAATACTCCTTACTATTTCAAGACCTTTAAAGAAAAGCAGTTTTATAGTTTCCAATAATGGATTTTACATACTGTCATCTTTTGGAAACGATGAAGGCTTCGTTGGTACGTCCATTAAGGATAGTCGGCGTGTTTTCAACATTGTTTTTGGATTGCTTCGGCGTGTTATCGATTTGTGTTCGTCATTCGGCTGTTGCCCATCATCAGTATGATTTTTGATAGATGTAACCTTATCATCGAGTTCTGTGGAAGGTGAGTTATACTCTGGAGTCCCTAAAGAAGAAGAAAGAAAAAGTAGCAAAGTAAATATAGTTAAATCAGACAAAGTAGTCACCTATGCTAAGGAGAATTATTCTTCATCGTATTTTGAAATATGCATTGCAGGAAGTCTCACATTTCCAAGGAGACTTTTTCACATCAGATCTCCTGATTTTTAATTTCCTACTGTCACTGGCTTTTTATGTGTGGAGTATTTTACTTATGGCAATCTAAAAGTTGTCGCAGTAGCACTTGAATTCCTTATAAAAGGTTCCCCAGTTATAATAATACTAATTTTATAAAATACGAATGAGTATTTTTCAAATAAATTTTGTTAAAAACAAAATAGACAACTGTGGTTTTCACCATTGGAAGAGGAATGAAGATACATCGCATTGCATATTCCAGGGTTTTCTGGTGTTTTTTGTAATGTTTACAATCAACCTTTTTAAGAACAATCCTATCTAATAACTTGTTTACAGTGAATTTTCAATAATCAACTATGAATTCAAACCACTAATCGAAGATCTACAAAGTGCGAATGGTTGAGGTGAATACTATGCCTTCTAGTCGAGCCTCTAATACGATTTTCTACCAAAATCGCTGGGAAAAGCTCACTTTTGTACTTTTCCCTTTTTCATAAAAAAAAAAAAAAAAATTTGCGACAGTTAGAAAATTCAATAAAATGATTTCAGAAATCAATATTAGAAAAACCTATAATATGCAATTCGATGCATCGACATATCCTCCTTCCAACAATCAAAGTCGCACTTTTCTTTGTTGTTTTTATCAAAATTTAAAAAAAAATTCTCAGTAACAATCAGGTAACCGTGACACATGCGAACAAAACAGATCTTATCGAAATTTTATTATCATGATATTAGTTGAACTATGATTAAATAGCATAGAAAAAAAGCATTCGTTTCTCTATTAGAGTGTATAGAGAGAAAGCTTTTTTTTTAACCTTTGTATAAGGAATTAGTTTACTACTGCCATTACTATTAGATTGTCCTAAGTGCTTAACAAGAACACAGGACTCAAAGTAAACCGATTTGTAGTGCCATCTTGTGCAAAAGTTATGTTCAGTTTAAAATCATGAGTTGCGATATGTGAGCTCCCCTCTGCTCCTCTGCTATGGTCATGATATCGTTGAAACGTGTTCGTTTCTTCGAGTAGATAGAAGTAAAGTTTTTATCATCAGCGAATTAGTTTTTTGCGCAGAAAAATGAATTACTTGCATCAGTGGAGCTACTGTTCGCAACATTCTTTATTCTCAGCCAGCTCGAACTCGAATGAATCTTTCCGTTCTTACAAATTATAGTTAGTATTAAGTTCTTTACAGTCCGATTTACTTGACTTTTATTTCCTAATTACACACTAAATAAAAATGTGTCGCATGTGTCGTGATTTGCGACACATTGTACGACACATTGTAGTACGACATAAGGAGCTCACTGCGACACATTTTCTCCAGCGAGACTGCGACACATTTTGTACGACACATACGACACATTTTCTGTTGGTTCTTTTCGAAAAGCATAATTATTTCAATTTTTTTTCTGTTCAATATAATTCCACTGAATTATTTCTATGGTGAAAACTCTAGCAGGTTAGATCCTGAGATCTGTCCTGCTTCGAGTTGATCTGATTTGCATCAGACGACTCCAATGTAGTCCTTTCTCGATAATGAATCGAGATTGGCATTTTCTCGACAAAGACTATCGAGAAATAATTTAGAAAAAAAAGAATATTTTGAAAATTCATCTTTCTTACGTTCAACCATGTTGTTTATATATCGTCATGTCTGCATAATAAAAGGGTGAACGACTAGTTAGCAGACAGAACGCGAAAAATTCGTATGCGACACATTCTGTGCACGACACATTTTTCTGCTGGAGTGCACGACACAATAATTCACGACACAAAAACACGACGCATTTTAATTTAGTGTGTAGAGTGTGGAGTGTGGGTGCAGACATCGTTAAAGAGAAGATACACACCCATACTCGGTTTAGACCTGAGGAAGCTCACACATAGATTTTCCATCTGAAACAGTTTTTACTAAAACATACACCATTCGATGCAGTTTTTGACGCTGATTCCGAAATTGGTATCTATTTTGTTTTTTGGAGGGACCATGATAATAAAAGCTACTAAAAAGCGCTCACATTTCTCTACGTTTCATCTCATGATACTACCAGACGGAAAACAGTTCAATTTTTCCAAAAATGAAGCCGAATTTTAAAAACATAAATAGGTATTTTTGTCGCTTACGATCTGAAGCTTGGAACGAGATAAGACACTTGCTTCTATCTTTTGTTAGAAAAAAAACCAGATAGATTTATAAGAATGCTCACCAATACACAATACGAGCTTGATGGATCTATTCATATCGGATAGGATTTTTAACGTTGGCAGTTTTACATCTTATTAGATAACATTTTTTTACTCACTTGTTCATGCTGATTAAAAATATAATATTTTCAGAGTATGGGTTTGGGTGTGGATGAAGAGAACATCGATACCCAGGCCCAGAACTGATGAAGTAAACATCGCATGATGAAAAATGTAAGGATTGGTTTTAAAAAATGTCCGTTATTTACAAAAAGTCGAAAGAACAAAAAAGGAGATGTTATATGTTTTTTTTTTGTCGAACCTCATCATGTATCGAAGTGTTTAGAAACGAAACTTCGTTGTGTCAAAAACAGCATAGAAAGCCTATCGAGTAAAACACATCTATCGGATCATATCAATTTATAAAATGTAAAAGCCTTGTTTAACAAAAATAGCTTTCATACAACGTTCATGGTTTCTACTATCACTTCGTTCCACGAGTGAATGCAATTGAGGAAAACTTAGCATGGAACACAAGAGCCAAGTGTCGAATTTCAATATTCTATGGATTTTCTGAAATACCTTCTGATCACGCATAATGTGGCAAACTAACATGCTAAGAATCTACCAAAGTTGCTTATTTACAGAAGTCAGGATCTCAAAAGATTCTAAGAACTATAGAAACTGCACGACAACATCAAAATTCAATGAAGTCAAGAAGCACAGAGAGCTCAAGCCTAGGTACGAAGTCTAAGAAGTCGTTGAAACAAAGGAAACCACGAAACTCAAGAACTCGTCTGTAACCAGAAACTTATATAAGTTCAAAGAAATAAAGAAAGCTGTGAAACTGAACGACCTACAGTAATAACATCACCGTGAGGAACCTAAATTGTTCACAGCAGTGAATAATCAATGACACTGAAAGTAACACAGTAATGGAAGGAACCACAAGAAGTGAAGGATTCACAAGAACGTTCCCACAGGCATTGATAAAAAAAAAACTATGTGAAAATGGGAATCGAACGATTTTACGGTAATTTTTTTTTGTTTTCATGCTTCAAGTTTATGAAGATTTGAGTCTTTCATGACATAGATGCTCATTTTTTTGACTGAAACCTGAATGGAAAAGATTTAAACACGGAACAAAAGTTGATTGATTCCAATCAACGAGAACAATCTCTGCACACTTTTACATATAGCATGAGAATATAAGTTATCTTAAGCAAGACATTCACGAGATCATACAATGTACTTGTTTTAGGTATTTTGATTTCTAATCATAAATTCTTTCGGTCAGATGTCTTTTGTTGCACAATCCGAAGCGTTGGTATAAGTAAAAACGGCTGTTCTGTTTATACGACTTTGAGAAAAGCTAACCATTACCAATCGCCGAGAACAAGATGATTGCTTTTTCAAAAAGAAATCAAAAGCGCATTTCGAAATGGTGTGATACTTTAATAACTTCTGCCAGCTATCACCTTCGAACAACTCTTGTATGTATAGCTGTCGTTCGATGATAACACGAACACACCTAAGTTGATGTCTGCACCGAGTGAACAAAAAACAAACAGCGTTTTCGTAAAAGAAGGATGCTAGATGATAGCAAAATCATATTTTATTCCTAATTTTTACGTGATGTGCAAATACTTATGTAATGAGCTTCTAGTAGTATCATATAATTTCAAAAGTGACTTTCAAGGAACGCTCGTTCAATTATTCGAGAACTCAATGAATCGATCTGTGTTCTCCATTCAAAATAATGTGAGAACTTCAATTGGATCCGAATATGTCTATTGTTCTTTACTAGCAATATCAAGGCTTGCCTTGTTAGAGCAAATTTGAACTTTTCAAAACTATTGAAGGATACATTATCGAACTGTATCTTATTTGGACGAAGCTTTAAAACATCTTTGTATTAGTTATGTGAATCGAACGCAACTCATGAATAATAAGCTTTAAGAAGAATGTGCTCCGCGTGAATATGAATGAGAGAAATAGCAGTTGCAAAGTTTCGCTTGACTTTACACTGCAACTAAAATTTTTCATGCATACAAGTACATATGTGTTCAAGAACAAGAATAGTCAAGACGACTTACTCGAAACAATGACTTTGCATTTATCGGATTGGAGTGATCCACCAACGTTGGAAACCTTGGCTAAATATTCTCCGTCATCATCTGGTTGTACATTTAAGATGGTCAGTGTGTATTTGTCATCGTTACCAATTGGTGTTGTCATTTGAATGCGATCATTGAGTGTAAGTTCATTGTCGTCTTTCATCCAGACAATGTGAGGTTTCGGGGCTCCACTGGCGACGAGTTTTAATGTCAAGGTTGTACCTTTTGTGACTGTCAGTGCAGTATTGAGATTAGCCTTGATGAAAGGTTTGATACAATCAATCTTTAATGTTGTTTGAGCTTCAGCTTCACCAAAAGCATTGGTTGCTCTAGCAGCATAGACAGCTTGATCGCCAAGTTCAGCTTGACGAATTGTTAGTATCGATGTTCCATCATCAGTCTCCGTTACTCGCAAGCGATCACTCGTTGGAAGTGATTGACCATTAAAGAACCATGTCACTCGTGGCTTCCCGATGCCACTGAACTTCCATGAAATCTGAATATCTTGACCAAACACACATGATTGATTGTTTTCTGATATTGGAGCTTCCACTTTGGGTTGAACTAAACATAAGTAATCGTTCATATTGTACATGGGAAATGATGAGACTACTCGGGGCGTCAGCGTGGGTGAATGAAGAACCATAATTACACGCTGCCACTCACACTTTACACTATTTTTTCTATGTGTTTAGCTTAATCAATTAAGTTGAAGATTTTAGTTTAAAAAGCATTTCGTTCTCTAAGTACGAATTTATCAATCAGTTTTCGTTCACAAATTTTCCGAGGAATTGAGTAAGTACACCTTTTCAAATCTAGTACATGTCTTGCTTTCTTAATAAAGATAAGATGCATCCTTCCGTTTGGTGAATATGTATATACGTAACTGCTAGCTTAGGCAGCTTTCTCTCAGATTTGGAATATCATTTGCACGTATCGTGAACCTATATGCCAGATACTATTCATTATCAACTATTTGGTTTTTGAACCATGTAACCAGCATTAAGAATGATCAACAGTGATACCCATAAACAGATTATCACTTCACCTACACTCGAGGTGTATGCTCACATTAATCAGCAATGGGCAGGATATGTTAACTTTACTAATTTTAAAACTCTATCAAATCACATTTTTTTATTTGATATTGGATACTCAATCAGAATCAATTACTTGCAATAACACTAAGAGAAAAAGAAGAAATGCCGCCAAAACATACCTTTAGTTTTTCGTCACATATTGAATCTTATCCAAAATTTGACTTCTTAAAATAATACATCACTAAGTAAACAATGACGGTCACTCCTTTTTTGCATATTCCTAGAATTATCGTTCTATAGAAGAATGAGTGAAGAGGAAATCTGTCAATAATAGCCAAAACTTCAGCTTTTCTCCCTTAGTATGTCCTGATTGATCAATGGTACTTGATTTCTCACATAGCCATATCTTGATATCAAAAAGCAGTTATTTTAATAGAAAATAAAAGCAAATCTAATTGAACGAAAATGAAGCTGTATTGTTCACAGTTTACTTATTACGGAAAGCAAGTTGTCCTATCTTGAGTAAGGTGCCATGAAGATTTAACTGATTTAAACTTTTCACCAGAAAAAGTGTTTCTTGCGAAAATACAGACTACTAATAATGTTTGATCAACGAGTCTCCAGATTGAAAAATTTGAATCTCTATGAATGATTCAGCAAGAAATGCATCAAACTGTGAAACATGTAAATACAACTCACCGACTCAGAGCCCTTGATTCCTGAAATCTTTGACGAAGTTGGCGAACAAGTTGCTACTTTTTGGAAAATAATGGCTTACTTTCGTAATGAAATTCGATGAACAAAATTTTCGGATACTCATGAAAAGATTAAAGATCGATAACGGTAACTATGTCTCATCTACTATTGAATGGTTACCTTCCAGAAATAAATCTAATGAATTACTAACTAGATGAAATATCAAATTATAAGGAATGAGCCATAAACACTAGCATTCTTAGTATCTTTGAAATGTTTTTTCTATAGTCTGAAAAAATTTTTTTTGACAGTATATGTCTTTTATAGTATAACTCAAAGATTCAAAAATCTCAAGAACATCGTCACGGGAGATCTTATTGCACTGATACTACTACATAAGAAATATAGTTTTATTCATTGCAGCTATCATATTTATGATCAACATACGTCAAATGACATATCTGTATGTGTTGAGACGTGAGGATAAAATAATGTTTTCTTCGAGTCTCTAGGAGTACACAAGGTCCAACAAGTCACTATGTCACATATCTATAGTAATGATATTTGCATTTTAGAGGGATCAACAAACAAGACATTCAATCAAATCAAGTTTACCTTGCTTTCCGGATGTATTGTCAGACAGAGGAATATTCGCCAGTAATATTTTAAAATATATCGGTATTATTTTATTTTGAACTGCTTGTAAACCTTGTAACCAACCATATTCAGCAACATTATCTAATGCTAATTCATACAAATTGTCTCTGTCTCTGACTTGACTTTTTTCTAATAATTCAAATAATTTTGGACGATAATATTCGCGTAACGCTTGAAATAACACCGATCGCTTTTTATTATCAGAAAACTTTTCTATAGATTTTAAACCATTATTGGTTATTGTACACCATAGATCATTGAATACATTTGTTTCATTACAACATTTATCATCAATACCTTCAAATAGAAGTTGCAAAACAATTGATAAGATTGGGCAATCTTTCAAGTATTTATTTCCATATTCAGCTGTACGATTCAGAACAGAATCATAATTGACGGCATCATTATATTCTTTTAAAAATAAAATAAACCATTGATTTGAAGAACCATATTTTACTTTCCATTGTCGTTCAAAGTATTGTTTCAGAGATTTCATCAATTTGCTATCGTTTTCATTTATTGCTGCTGCATAGATTTCTGGTACGAGGTATTCTTCATACTTAGACAATGATTGTCGACCATTTTCTAGCAGATCACTTATAATTTCATGCTTTATTTCGTGTTCTGCCAAGTCAAGAGCGCATATTATTTCATTCTTGGCTAATTTTAATACTTCATCATCGACAACATTGTTAGGTTTTTCTGTTGAAGAAAATTTGATTATTGATAAATCAGAAGAGGACGTGAGTATTGGGTGTGACTGGGAGTAAAGAGAAGATCTACACTCACAATCATACCCAAAAAATTGAAAGATTCAAAATATTCAACAAACGAAAGGAATGTACATCAGTGTGCAATAGAACAAACCAATGGGGAAATTGTTCGCACTTATGGAAAAATGCTTCTTTCTGTCTCAAGTCATGCATATCAAGAAGAAATAGAACGATAGCATATACATTTTCTATCATTCAAGGTACTTCTTTGTACACTTTCGTTCAAATAATCGTCTATTCCTTACGGTGAAAAAGTGATAGGATTATTATCTGCTCTCACATTATTTTCGACTTCTACTTGTGAAGGTAGAAACTATTGAAGAATTTCTTCTTTGTTCATATTTAATCTCTTTTCGCCTAAATGGACACAAATGACGCCTGTTTTTTCTTCAAAAGAAAGCTTTTTCATGAGATGATGAGCTATGACCCATCTATGCTGTGAACAGAACTATTTGCTCTCTTTGGAGGCTACTCTGCATCCCAAACAGTGTACAGACAAATTCAAGATAGATGCTCTCTATCAGCGAATGACTGAGAAAAAAAATAGAAGGAATATATAGAAACCAGAAGATGATTGATTTAGTGAAACACCTTCTCTTGTACGAACCATAACGTCACTATTGTCAGTAGTGAGGATGCGGGTGTGGGTGCGTGTGCGTGCATGTATTTGGATATATTCGTCGTTCATATTCATACCCACACACGCACTCATACCATCATTGACTGATTAACCGTTCTGTGGGTACTAATTACTCAAGCTCTAGTTTGGTGAATAATCCAGTTAGCACTTTAGCTTTGCTTTAAAAGTTAAAGTTGAAGTACTACTTTAAATGTTACCGGTTAAAGCTAAAGTAACGCACTTTAAAATTTCAACTTAAGGGTGTGGTTGTGAGTGTTGATGTTAGTTTGACTAGTGATAATGGAAACACTCGCATGCACCTTTGTGAAAAAAAGAAACCGACTGTACACGCATATTGTTGAGTTACCTGGGTCAGCATGAGTAGTAACAATATTGGTTGACAATGGTTGATCCGTCGTTCTCTGAATGTTATGATCAGTCGTAATTCGAGAAATAAGTTCATCAAGCTGAACAACAACAGCTTTTACCTATTCACATTAGATCATAAAATGCAATCGAAATCATTCACTTTAATTTTACTTTAACCAATCTGCAAGCCCATTGTTCATTAATTTCTTTATTCATACAGTACACATATATTGATATAACTTGTTGAAGGTTGTGAACAGATGGTACTATTTCTTTTCCCAATTGACCGCTAACAATCATTATTAGTCGATCTTTCTCTGATTGTTCTTCAATATATTTCTGACATTGTGTTCTGTCTTGAAACTTCTCGAAATGATTAACAATAGACGCCAATTTTTGTTCCGTATCTCGAATCCTTTTATCGTTTACATTGGCATCAAGCCAAATGATGCAAGAGATGTCAAGACGCATATTATCGGCATTTTTTTGAAAGTCTTCAGTTACTAGAATAGAAGTGTCAGTGTTAATGAAGTAGAACAAATAGAATAGAAACTTTGAATGCTGACTATTCGATTTAGTTATTGAATATATGAATGTTTTTAGTACCCAATAACGAATGCTACACAGTCACTTTTATTACTCTGTTTATTAGTATTCATTTTATTGTTTTTTTTTCTAATTTCGATGCAAAGAGCAAAGAAGAATAAGATATTCGAATACGTCGAAGAAAATAAATTTCTTCTGACTCATTACTTTTGTAGGAAACAATATCGAACCGATGTGTAAACCTTTAGCATGGTATTTTGTTTTGTTTAGTCAATTAAGAAGGTTTCAAAACAGACTGTATCATCTAACACGAAGTGCTGTAATGTAATTCGTCATTGTCTAGATTGCTCATTTGAATCGGAATTAGTCATAATCCTCGTCTTTACTTTAGAAAACTTCTACAGTCAAGTTAGTTGAAACGATCATATTGAGTCATACATTCAAAAAATGCTATTTCTTCTCTGATGGAAAAAGTTCTAATATTTCACAGAGTTATTTAAACTGGGACTGAAAGACACAATAAGGTCAACTTTGATATGGACATGTCTCATCTTCGTTGAAGTTTTCAATTATGCGATAGTCAAGCATGAATTGTATTCTTCATTCTCTGAGTATTCCTCAAGCTTTCCAATAAGATTGTAGTGAAGACCATAGAAGACTTTAATTGTGAAGCCTTTGCTAAAGTTGAAAAGATCTTATAAAAAAAGATTAACCTTTGTTGTATTCGAGGAAGGAATTCGGTCTCTTCACATTTAATATCTATTCCTCAAACGAAGAAATCTTTTCTAAATAAGAAGTTTTTTCTTTCGGTTATTTTAACTTTAAATATTCGATGGCATTTGCTCATATTTTAGATAGATGCATGAAATCAAGAAAAACTTTTTCCATGTGGTTTTTCCTTTTCTAAAGTGAATGAATGCACTGACAGAGACTGCAATGTTTGAAAACAAAAGCGAGCAAATATATCATTCATGTTGATTAAGGCTGTAGGGAAATCTGTTGTTGTTTTATGAAAATCAAAGTACAGTTTGAACGAAAATGAAACTGACTTCCTCGACCAGAGACAACAATCGACATTTCCTTTTTTTCTTTTACTGTAACTCGACTTCAGAATGTAAGTTTTGTCATTCAAAGCACTGTTATTCAAAACTGCATTGACAACTTTACAAAAACTGGCACATGTAATCTCGATGTATGTACCCTAAACATTGAATTTTAATTGATTTCCTTTAATTTTCAGTTTCTAAAAGGTGGCTACATCGCTTTACACCTGATTAATTCTCATTTCTATCAGAATCATTGTCAGAAATGAGAGAAAACCTAAAAAGTCTTACAAAGCGTAGCTCAAGTACTTTTTGATTTCTAAGAATCAAATATGAAGTTTACTTAGATAGTTGACTCATAGAATATTATGCTAGTAGACCTAAAAGAATTCTTAGGTCTATGAAACTATTTTTTTTTGAGAACCGAACTTTTTTTTAGATCTGCGACAGTTGAAGGCCCTAAGTTCAGGTGAACGGCCAGAAATGCGATCGGTTCATGTTTCTATAGAACCGAACCGAATTTGGTTTAATTCAGTATGGTTCAGTCTGAAATCGAGTCGATGTCATCTCTGTGCACTGCTTAAAAGAACTTTTAAAACTGGCCAGCTCCTTTCAAAAGGGCTGTTGAATCAGTTCTCAAGATCAGAACCCTAGTAAGATTCTGAAGTTTAACAGTTATTCTACTGAGACCACTGTTCATAATTTGTTTCCTAAGAATGTTTCCCACGTATTTAAATTTATCATGACCAATGACCAGAAATAACAACACAATTTTAATTATTAATATGCACGTAGAAACAACGGCAAAATGACAAAATTGTTTGAGCATATTATTGAAAATAAATATCTTTGGTAAACAGTGTAGGATCGATATTTTACAACAAAATAAGGCTGCATGGTGGAAAAATATCTAATCCTCAAATGAAAGCATACGTAGTTAAGAAAATAAACCTTAAGCCTGTGAAACAAATTGACTGATGCTCTAAGATGTAAAAAAAAGTGAAATATATCATAAGGTAATGTAGCATAAATATCGGGTGCTTTCTATTCATTACTTAAATTCTCCTTCTTCTTCTCGATAATGGGCATTAGGTAAAATGCAGCTTTTCTAGATCTTAGACAATCCTGAGGTACCACTCTTGCACACATGAAAAAATAGATTGATTAAAACATATAATTTTTGCTGCTCTTTGTTAGTAGAATGTAGTAGAGTCCTAAACGAATCACTTGTATATATACTGGCCCGAGCCCGAAGGAAATTTCATTTGCAAAGATTTTTCCCAATAGAATTCGGAGGTTACACCGGTAATTATCGATGCACTTCAGAGCAAATAACTAATGTTACTTTGAGTTTCGATCAATCGAGATTGTCGAAATTGAAAGGAAATCAATATGAGATAAGTTGATTTGCTTGTTGAGTCAAACAAACAAACCAAATATGTTGTAAGGTATTTGAACTCAATAACGACCATTATGCATAACTCGATGTCCTATGTTACAATATTTTTGCAGCCAAATCCATGGAAAGTGAATTATGTTTCTGAATGAGAGGTATTTTTCGATATTGTTTATTCAGTAAATTAGCAGGCAGTCAAAAATATTTCGTGAACGGGAGGAAAAGACGCTTTGATGCTTAAACTTTGAAGATGAGCCTCTCAACTTTAAAATCCGAAAATTTTTTCAATCCATTTTCCAGACTATTTTCCATTGCGTGCTAACACACTGGATGGTCGAATTTAAGATATTTTTTCTCTCTAAAAAGTGGCACAAAGGTCAAAAGATTACGCGTTTTTCATATTGCTATAATTCACGTAGTCTATCTATGTACCACAGAACATTGTGTGTAGACGAGAGATACGACTGGTCTAATGGCCCTTCTCACAATAAATTTACCACCTAGGACGGACCTTTTAGCCGGAAATATTCAGAAATGAGTGGTTCTGATCAACAACGCTTGTGGCTAACATTTCAGCTGGATATATCTAACTAGACGAAACTCCCAGCTTATTTATGGTCTATTTATAGACTCCAGGAGAGTTCTTATGACTTCTTTAATACAAGTGATAGAGAGCTCGGAGTGGTTTGAAATAAAGCAAATGTTAGTGCGCAGCTTTTCATCGAATAGAATTTCAAAATACCCTTCTATTCATTTTGTAAGATTATTTTAGTACATATTATGTTAAAATAAGCAAAAAACAAGTGACCTCACGATAGTATATCTAGTTTTTTTCTACATACAAATCAACTGCTAAAAATTTGATCAAACAAAAGTTCACTGTCATTTAGATCTTTAAAACAAAAACAATATTCGTGATATGCTAAACTGGATGGAAGATATTTCGATTTTTGGTGATGAAACATCAGGTTCTGAGAAACAGAATAAAAAAGTTTAGAAATCAATTATTTTCATTCAAATCCAGGATAAAAACACATTAAAAAGTCAAATTCTACATGTCAGTGGAATTTTGTAAAGCACGTAACAAATGGTGTAAACTACTACTATCGACCATGCTTAAGTTAATTTAATGATTTATTCCATACTGATACAATTAAAAGGCAGTATTTCCAAAACTGGAAATGTATTTCAAAACTTCGAAAGTTTCTTAAAAAAAAAGCTATGGTAAAGTCGAAATTTGCTTCAAAAGTCTGTTCAAATTTGACCATTTTTCAAAAAATCATATATGTATATATTCTGAAAGAGGAAGCTTCGCTGCATCTGCCTCAGGTAAAAACTCAACTTCGATTTTTTTTAGAAAACATGTATTCTCTGAAAGGAACCTTAAGTGATTACTATAATTTATCATATTAATGGTACTTGAAATTCGCATACTTTTTCTATCGTAAAACGTTTTGATAATTTTTAGCATTCAAACCAAGCGTATAGTTGAATGTGCGTATGAATGTCACCCAAAGATATAATCTTTCTCACATCTACACCCATTTTATTCGACTCAATTCCCAACAGACTTTATACGGTAAAGTACTAAAGCATCACTAACAAAAGAGATTCATACATTACTTCTCCAAACAGCACGAATACTTGTTAGCTGAGAATCGCTGGTTTTCAACTAAAATCACAAGTGGTTTCATGAAAAACATGAACAAGATACGAATAATATTATGTGATACATTTCGAGTTGATAGCGTTTTTATATAAATTATGATGATGCTTTATTTTTCCTAGTTTTGTACGATACTCAAAAATCTGTCAGTCAGTTTACCTACAAGAACATGAGCTTAACAAAAGAAAGATTTTTAAAATATCTAAGTCTTTTCTCTACATTCTTGTCTTTCTTGAGATACCGACAATCATTTGTTTTTTCTATGAATAGCTTCATACAAACTTAAATACATTATTCATATGTTTGCGCACAATACAGAGTGGGATAGTATTCAATCAATGTTCACAATTATGAAGAAACATCGCTAGCAGCACTATTTTATGAATGAAAATTTATAAATAGTCGTATCATTCGCATGCAATTACAAGTACGTTCATCTCTTTCTATACCATGGATTTATATAAGAAACAAAAGCGAAACCAAAATGAATTTAGAAAATCGTATGTGTGGAGAATTTTCTTATAGAAAGATGAATGTGAACTTTGTTTTCATCTATTCACTCGTTCATTTACTCAAAATCGAATATGAACTAACTATTCTGTTCACCGTTCTAATCTGCACTTTCTTCTATTCATAATAAATCATTACCTAGAGGTATTCTTGGAGATACGAGAATGGGTTCAAGTAATGCATGCTGTGGATCTATTTCTTTGATTTGTATTATATGGAGTCCATTACCAGAATTGAGACAGGATTTAACTTCAAATTGTCTGGCAGGAAGCAAGAGAATTTCATCTTCCTTGGACATAAATGAATGATTTTTAATATTCTTCCCCGTATGACAATCGATTTGAAATAAAGTACGGGTTCCAGTTTTGCCCAAAAACATTTCAGATTCTAACACCTTAACGGATGAGGTACAAGATGAAAATCCCCACCATATGAAGGTGCTACCTTCTGGATATTCTGCATGTAAGTCTCCTCGTATTCCTCTATTAATGAAAAGTCGGTCGGACGGTAGACGAGCCAGTGCTGTCAATACAAGTCGTAAATACCGAAACCAAGGAATTAGTTTCTGTCTTTCTTCGGAACGTAATGTTTCGTTAAGAATGACATAAAGAGAGTTTTCATGTGGTATCGATTCATACGTATAGAGCATAATCGAAGCAGACTCATCAGTTGTTAAGCCATCTGTTGAGTTTTTACAGTTCTGTTTGATGATGTATACATTACGTTTGACTCGTGGTACGATGCTAACGAGAGGTTCTACTGCGTCTTCAATTGATATAAGTGGCGCATTTTCATAGCCTTCAATGGGTGCTAGCATTCGTTTTGGTAGTGGACTGAAATCGGCGACGCGAAGAGACATTGATTTATCACCATTGTTAGTAGCCATCTGAAAATTGATAATCTACAATAAAAATATTTTATTTGTTGAAAATACACTTCAACCAAATTATTTTCGGGATAATCTCTTCAAGATTATCTGAATCATTTACAAGATTAGATTTTTTAATGAAATATTACGAGGTTTCCAAAGGAAAAAGAATTTTTGACGATATACGACGCAAAATTTCTGAAACTTTTATCAACTAGAGATCTGCATATTTTATTATGAAAGAATAGATTCCACAAGTTGGTGGGAACTTGTTTTCATAACTGTGGATTCCTGATATATATTATTTTTTGTGGCTCACATTTTTTTCGAACAAAGTATGGTGATATGCAGAGGCCGCGCGAAGGGTTCATGGTGGGGAGGAGGGGGGGAGGTGTCCACTCCCCCACACCCCACACTTTCGCGGTCTCTGTTGATATGTCACATAACCAGGAGCATCCAGCTATACACTCCTCTGAATTTATCATCGACATACAGGCAAATTTGAGTAAACTTTACCATATCATATAGGATCAATAAGATTATCAGAAGATAGAGCGTCAAAAGCTGGGCGAATTTATCTAATAAAATACCTTATTTTGTATTTGAGTCTAACTTTCCAGAAACACATATTTATGTGAGTTTCTGATTGATCATTCAAAGCATATCTTGATTATACTAGTATTTAATTGCTTCAAATTAACTTTTAAATTATGAAATTTCAATACATGAGTTTGCATATTTTCTAATGTTTTATATCTTGGTATGCTACTAGCATGTATTGAATGACCAACTCATTCAATCACAAGAGTCGTTTCTTTTTGTAGATTCGATTTATCCATCATGGTCAAATTGATACTAAAAAGGAAATCAAGTCTGTTTTCTAGTAACCAGTGAAACATGTAAACCTTGAAGCTTTCGAATTTTGACATATGATTGATTCAGATGCTCACATAAAATCAAATTTGTGATTTTGTTAAGATTTATTTGGTTTACCATCAACTGGGTGTCTTATGTCGAAGAATTTAGAGTCAGATAATTTTCACTTAAATTTGAAATGAAAGTCCGAACGTAAAATTCCGCAAAAAACAGTTGACTGTGCAGTTCGCTATGTTTGAAGTGCTAGTATTCTTTGTAAGATCATGTTTCTGAGAGAAAAACAATCATGGTTCAGACAGCAGGCTATATGACGTAATCTCCTAATCTATTTCTTTCTACATATACTCATAGAATTCTACGGGTTTGAATTCCTGCTTAACAGTTTTAGCCCAACGAATGATTATTCAAAGTAGAACACTTAACACAAAATTTAAAATATTCAGCCGTAGTCTCAGTCTTTTTTTCCCGAGTCATTGCACTAATTTGACATAAAAAAGATGACATTGATGTTTTGCGAAACAGCAGATGTTGTAGTTCGACCATCCTAAAAATAAAGATTGAGTATATTATCTCATTTTTTTCCTCTCTGTTTCAGAAAAATGTCGATCAAGTGTGTTCAAAGCGGCGACCATCACTGATACTTTAACTTTTTCCATTCATATAAAGTTTGTCACGCTCGCTTATTTGGTATAGATAAAATATATTTGTTATATCCAGTTATGAGATGCAAATTAATCTCTAGGTGAAAGTTTAGTTCGAGTTGAAAAATAACAAGAGAACATAGCTAGCTGATGGATATATATCGAGCACATTTTTGGTCTATAAGTAAAATAATATCAAACTAATCAGTTCTGCAAAATATGCCATGCTAATGCCTTCTGATAGCAGAGTTATTTTTTACTAATCATATCGAAAAGAAGCAAAAAAACATGTTTTGTTTTGGTCTATATGAGTTTCTGTTATAATTTCCTCGAAAAAGTTAAAAGTTTGCTCATTATTTTAGCAAACTTTTAAGTTATATTAGAGAAAAATTTGCATAAATTGCACAAAACAAAGGAACAAAAATACCTTGAATACTTGAAGTCTTGTTCAGAAAATATGTAAGAAAAACTCGAACTGTTCTGAGACATGTTTGTCTTTCACGGTGACCTACGTGATATTGTTAAGTTTTAATGAATAAAATGTGTTCTTGTCTGAGATATTCAATTTTGAAAATTAAATTCTATACTGTGAGAGAAAACAACTGAGTTAACATGTTGTGAAGGAGTAACCTTTCAAGATTACATGTATTTGATTTGAAATTTCTGCAGTGTAGTAATAATAATACATAGATGAAAGCTGTGTACCTGCAGGCATCAACCATACCACTGGGTCAAGATTCTAGACTAAATCAAGCTTTTAAATAGGGTACTAATATTTTCCTATCCGAATCAATTCGACTTGATTAGCAGATGACGACAAATCGAAGTTTTTGGTCTCGATGAAACTTAGCTGAGTGTTTAGTGTACTGACCAATTTTCAGTTGAAATGGTATTGTAGGTTTAAAATGCATGGATAATTTTTTTCAAGTGAAATCTTGTTTAAACTGATAATCAAAATTAAAAAGGCATGCCTTAATTCTGAAATAATCCCATATTACATATCTTTATTACGTCCATTTTATATGAGTCTTTTCATACACGATATGGTCGATGTATCACTTTATTTTATACCGTTCTAAATGATATTACCGTATATTAATGACATACACTAATTTTTCTAATTCGGATTTCATTGCTAAGAAGAAATATAATATCTACCTTTGAAAGTGTAAGTCAACTCTTATAGTTGAGCTATAAGAACTCAAGGAAGACTAAGAGCTCTTAAACCTCTGTGATCTCTCACAACCTGTAGAATTCGAAGTATTGAAGACATTCATAAAGCTCGTTTGTTTCTAGAAAATTTCGAAATATAAGTGTATCAATCAATTCTAGGTTACAATCGTTTTATTTTTTGTGAAAACTGAATTAAACTCTTATAAATATATTCTCATTATGATAGCACCCTATCCGCATATGTTATACTACATTTGAGGATTTACACTGAACTATTCGAGTGAGTTTTCATTGTAGCATTATTGCATCGTTCAAAGCCAGTTTTAAGTATTGAAGAGATTGGTATGGGTGTGACTGAAGAGAAGATGCACACCCACATCCACATTCCTTCTCAGTTCTGTCAATGTCGAATAGCTGTATTTAGATGTGAATATAAATATTGTGAAATACCTACAACTGTTGGCTTACTCTATAAATATTGCGCCGATTACATTGACAGTTGATGATGATACTCTTAACTATGAATAGGATCTTCAATCAAGGTCTTCATAGTGCTTTTTCGAAGAAAAAACTATTAAATTACAGTAATTTATGCAATAAAAGCCATAGTGCAACGTGATTACGTCACTTAGGTTTATCAGTGTTTAGTCCATCAAGTAAGTACAAATAAAAAATAAAATTCAGCATCTTTAAAATGATATCAAACTCATTTAGTATCTTTTCAACCAAATCAATCATTTGTTTACATATATACCGATTACAATTCACTGTAAAAAATAGAGATATAAGTGTTTATGCTGAAATAACTTTCTTTTGAATAGAAGCTTTGTTGCCATAGTTTTCATGAACATATTAAAAAGCAGAAATTTTCTGTGAACTATTGAACAGAGAAAAAACTCAACACTTATCTTTGCTACTTTGAATAAACTTTAACCTGTATAGTTGTTGCTATTGGTGGATGGCGGTGACCAGAAAAAAAGTTTTTAAGTCTATGAACATCGCTGAATAAGTCGAGAGTCGCGCAAATAAGAGTACAAAGAACACTCTGAAAGTCAGTAATACTCTCACTTGCCCCAAATCAACCCTCATTTATTCTAACTAGCCTAGCGGTTCTGAGCTTAGTCACACCGATTCATAACAGTAACTTAATGCACACATGTTCAAACCCGAAATTCATATCGTGCACATGTACCACATATACGCTCAGAAATACATATAATGCACGATTTAAACTGAAGTCGAGTTTTCCCGGTGAATATGCATTGATGTACGACCAAGGGGGAAAAAACTCATTCGCGGGCATTCGAATGGATGAGAATGAATGGAATGGATGAGAATGGACGGGAATGGATGGGAATGGATGGGAATGGATGAGAATGGATGGGAATGGATGAGAATGGGTGAGAATGGATGGGAATGGATCGAAATAAACAGAGAAATTCAGAAGTAATTTCATGTAGTACGAAATTAGCTATATTAACTATTGAAATGTTAAGAGCATGTAACGTACTAAATATGTCCAAACATTTTGTATACATAATAAATCTTTTTAACTTATTAAATAGCATTATTTACTCTAGAAATATTCGAACATGTGTGATATTCTACAAATATCATCATAAGTATTTACCCATATAATAATGAGATATTATGCTTTTTTTTCGTTACATCATAATGTGTACAGGCAGATAGTAAAAAAGATTTACTATGAACACGCCGAAAGAAAAAATGTCGAAGGCAAAAACGTCGAACAAAAAAAACGAAATAAAAAAACGTCGATCATGTAACATATCGAAACTTCTAAGATGTCATTATTGGAGTAGCTGCCTAATTTGAGTTCGAATATAAATGAAAATTTCGACGCACACCCCCTTTTTATTAGCTGAAGAAAAAGAAAAATTTTTCTTTTCGAAATCGAATTTATAATTCGAACCAGCCACCCATATAATTCTGGCAAAAAAAAATTTTTATTCATGGCATCCACAGCAGCTGCAATGATGTGTGCGTGAGTTTATGTGTGAGTCCTTCTTCTTGGAATACATTTCGCGGCACCCACAACAGCTGCGCTGATGTGTGCGTGAGTTTCTGTGTGAGTCCTTCCTCTTGGAACTCCTTTCCCGGCACCCACAGCAGCTGCTATGATGTGTGCATGAGTTTATGTGAGTCCTTCCTGCCAGATCACCTTTCGCGGCACCCACAGCAGGTGCGATGATGTCTGCGTGAGTATATATGTGAATCCTTCCTCTCGCAACTCCTAGGAACTTGAAAGTTCAACCTTGAAACATAAAACTTGAAGCTTGAAACTCGAAACTTGAAAACTCAATTGAA